AAGGGCTTCATACTCTTCCACCTTGTCTCAAGTCAAATCTTTTTTAAGCATGCAGCTAGCATTAGCAAAGCGAGGGCAAACTTGTGGCAGGGTTGGCTTAGGATGGTCACACAGGCAAAGGTCCATGTCTCTACCTACCCTACATATCTCTTCCTTCGCAGCTCTGCAATATAAACACAAGTGAAAACAGTATTACATCACTACACCGAAATTCCCTAAAGGGTCCAAGTACCCAATAATCGTATACTTACCCAAAACTTATACTACAGCTACCATTACCATGAACCCAATTAGCTAAATATTGGGTACTTGGACCCTCTGGGATTGCCAAGGGGTTGTACCCAACTTACTCAGGCTCCTACAGTCAGACACAGCTGGGAAGCCCCCTCAAATGAGTAGCGTTTTCTTTTGGTGGTTGAACCTAGTAAGATTACATTCCTTATATGAACTACTATAATGTAAAAGGAGGATATAATCTTACTCTGTATTGGGTACCATAGTATCCCCAAATAAAATACTACTCACATGGGTTTGCCAAAAGGCTCCCAAGGTTCTTCTTTGCACGGCCGTTGGAGCCCGACGCACGTATAAGCTAGGTGCTAGGTAGACACAATAAAAGGATATGAGAAGATGTAGGACACTACCTGGTTACAATATTGAGTTTCTCAAACTTCTAAGCACAAGCCTCAGCTTGCCGCCCTTCAAACTGCAAGACCTTTACATCTTACATGTTCACTTCAAGTTTCACGCGTGCAGCACCATCCCCCAATGAGTCTCAAGAGATAGCCATAGCGAGACTACGGATTAGCCAATCTTAGCAATGGCAACAACAGGATTGACGACTAAATCCTCGTAGTCATTTGAACAACACATCATGAGGCCCACTACGGCCGTGGCTTCTGTTGAGGGAAGACTTCTTGAAATATGTACAGCTTTCGAAAGGGCTGTAATTTCAGACAATCAGGTACGCAGGGCTGCTCAGGATTTCTTCCATCAATACACTGAAATTGACAAGATGCACCAGAGGCACTGGCTTCAAAGCCCACGTGAAACTATAGGCAGCACTCTCCCAGAGCCCTCGGTTCAAAAACCACACTGATATCAAACCGTAGAAGCACCGACTGCCCTGCAACATCTATGAGCTATAGTCTAAACTCCTAGTATCCGCTGAATAACCCTTTTTAAAATCCCTTATAGAATCCACTATATAACCTTTTCAGGAGTTCAGACTACAGCTCATATGCCCTTCGGTTCGCCTGCCCTTCGCGCAACATCTCCAGCCGGCGCTTGGCAGCATTGGCGCGGAGCTCCGCTGCCTCCAGGCAGTTTGCGGAATAGAGTCTGTAGTCTCTAGACCATCGGGGCCCAGGCAATCACTTTGAGGGGCTTTTATGAAATCCTAGAGATGAAAAGGGTTAACACTTGAATTAGGAGGCGCTGGAAGTGTGGTGGCTCGTTGCAAATTCCAATGCTTGGCAGCTGCGAAGATGACTGTGGCTCTTAGCAAGCCGGCTCATGACGGGATGTCCGGGGTAGTGATATGAGCCCTGGACTAAATTTCTGGTACCCCCCAACCTAAATTCAGTCCGTAGCTCATATGATGGATATAAATGTGGCTGCGCTACAGTATATGGATGACATGGGGACCAGGTAGAGGTTGTGGAGACTTCAAGCAAATTTTTGAGGAGGCCGTAGTAACGGCATAGCAGTTGTATAAGGAATTTCAGCAAAATCAGGTGCATGACTATCCCTAGGGCTCCAAATAGCCCAATGTAGGTACTATTTATAGACACTGGCGCTCAATGTAAGCGTTATTTATAAACATGAAGCCCCAGACTATATTCCAGGACCCTCCTTGTACCCTTAATTGGGGATGTATGGTCCCAATAGTGGGTACTTAGGCCCTAATAGAGGGTAGGGGGAGGGGCTAGGTTGTTCCATAGGTTTCTGCTTGCTGGCACCATTACAAAAGGGTCAGGGGCTCGTTGGGATAACTCTTGGGGAAGGTTCTTGAACATATAGGGGTCATATAGGGGTTATTTAGGGGTTATATAGGGGGTTATATAGGGGTCATATAGGGGCTTATATAGAGGTGATATAGGGGTTATATACGGATTATATTGTTGCGAGCTTGGGGGTTCAGGGAATTGGGACTAGGATAAAAGGGTTGAGACTTTGCAGGGGTGAGAGTTTGAGAAGCCACCCTCTCAGACTTGCTAGAGACTCGCGCATGTGCTTGGGCTTCGGCGCCAGGAGCGCGGTAGCGAGTACATCGCACCTCCTAAGAGTTTAGGCTATGTTGGAGGTCTAGGAAACCTATAAAATCACAATGTAATGTCCCCCAAAACCCTGTTCTAATTAAATAGGCCCCTGCATTACCCTCAGGCTGCCTTTGCTAGCAGTAGCAAGACAGGGTGTATCCAGTTTCGTATGTTTGGGGTCCTCACCACGACATTGTTAGATAGCCGCAAAACAAGATGTCGGATGTAGACCCCTAACCAATAACCCCTTCCCCTTTATTAGGGATTATAATAGGGATCCTAATATATCCTAATATCGAGGCCCTTAAAGGAGTGGGGTTCATTAATCATGGGTCTACATTAACAAGCACACGCTACGGGCTCCAATCCCCTTTGCGACCCAGAACCCGACTCTGAATGCTGGGGCCAACCCCGAAGGCGGCACGGTGGCTAAACCCTTCCAAGCACAGCCAGCCCAACCCCTGAACCTCAGAGTCTGAATACTGAACTCCAAACCCCTAAACTACGTGGCGCTTAGGACCCCTACTAAGGGTTAAGCCAGGTACCTACAATAGGAGTATAAGGGAATCCCAAAAAATCAAGGGACTAGGGTCCAGGCTATGTCCCAAGGAGTAAATCCACTCCCTAAACCCTCTATAGCACGGAGAGGCCGCGCGCGCGCCTTTCTCCGGAGCCTGGGACCAAATTCAGCACACTCCTGGGCCAAGCGCTTCAAGATGCTGAGCCGAGCCTCCGGCACTGAGGTTGCGGGAATCTGGGAGCTTGTTAGGGTTTAGGGGTTTAAGGGTTTAGGGTTTAGGGCTGTTTAGGGTTTCGGGCTTAGGGCCTTTTAGGGTTTAGTGCCTTTTTCCCTCCCGCCTGCCTTCTTACAGCATGCAGGGAAAGAAGTGGCGAGTCCGGACGAAGAACAAAAACCGTCGCAGAACTATCTAAGGGTTGAAGGTGTAAAAATCAAGGATATCGGTAAGGTTCGGCTCGCACCCGCTAATAGCGATCACAAAGGGTACTGGCTTTTCTATTGCGGTCCTCGTGCACTCCTCAAATGCTAATATGACAAGTGGCGGGTTTATGAATATCCAATCCTCTTACGAGCATTGCTTGTGGCATCATATTGGATGGGCTTCACGGAGGGCAGACACGGATTCACAGGTTCGAATGGACAATGCAGGAACCTCAAGATTCTGCATCCCGTGGTGCTTATCACCTCATAGCACCTCGCGCAACCCCTGTCCGAAAGTTAGTTATGGGCTCTGACAGGCTGCGCATGCTCCTTGCCAGATTGAGCGTGTCCGTGTCCGTGCTCATGTTTGTCCGCACCGATCAGAATTTTCAACACAGGGGTAGGAAGGCGCGGAGGCATGGTCCATGCACGTTTTGTATTGCCCCTCCGCGCCCTTGCCCGGTACAGCCTCAAAAGGATATACGATGTCGCGCAGTAAGCGGGACACCATTATGAGAGATATCTAACATACCATCAAGAAGTCATACTTTATGTTTGATGCCATGGAAAGGCTTCTTTCGTTCATGATGCCCACATAACCATTCCTTTCGTCACCGCGCAAGTCCCCACACAAGTCTTCTCACATTTTCTACCATAGCTCTCGCAATGCCTACGCTGCCTTATACGCTTGCCGCTGTGCTGAAACAAACAATTTTCATACTTACGGCCGCTTCCGCACTCTTTGATGACATCCTTGCAAGAATGTCTGACAAAACGGGTCATGCTGCAACCCCACGGTTGTTTTTTTCTGAACTGTCCTTTCAATCAACATAAGCACGTGTTGTAAACTCTGAGCAATGAGCAAAAACTCCTGTGCCAACGCGGCACATGAGATCACAGTCAAAATCCTAATGCACTTCGAACCCTGGACACCCATAGACCTGGATTGCAACCATATATATATATATATATATTTATATATACATACACTGTTTTACGAGTGGTATACAGCAAGACTGCCAGCTCAACCACGACCGCCCACAACTTCTTCTGCTGCTCCCCCTCCTCCTACACCTACTCCTACTCCTACTCCTACTGCTACTACTACTACTACTACTACTACTCCCACTCCTAATTACTCCTACTACCACTCCTCCTCCTCCTACCCCATGACGTCGACTACTTCATAGCAGTCTGTACAGCGCTGAAGTTTGACCACAGTAGAAGGACAGAGTCATAGCAAAGAGCACGGCCAACTCTAAATCCGTTGCACAGAAACATGGTCGCGCTATTAGGCCAGTCTGAAGCTGTTCGCGCACTTCGGCATGCGCACCACTGTAAGCTTCCACACAGCTAGTGCAGTAGCAATCCCAGCATAAAAAAGCTATCGATCATGACTGAGTAAAACCTAGCATGATATTGAATCAGCTGATACATAACAACAAAGTAAGTATACCTTCAATGCGAGTAGCGCTGCGCCGGTAGAAGAAGAGCTCCTGGGCTATTGGCACCTGAGGTGCGAAGCAACAACGTCCAGAAAAAGTAACAAGACTATATAGAGAGCTACGCCCTGAGCATGGAAGATATAATCAGAGTCACCATGTATCTATGAAAGATCCTTGCATCCTTGAGCGGCCTACAAACCCAGCGATTCAGGCTCTCATCTTAAGCCTCACGCCCCCAGCTGCTGTTGGGCCTCTGTATTTCCTCAACGAACAAGGGAAGGAGGTCCATAATATCTAGGACCTTCAACCGCGAAGTCTACTTCTGAAAGCTTTCATGTAGCGGGTCAGCAGCGCCTCCGCCACCAGGCGATGCCTCTGGACAGCGCAAGACAAGACAAGTCAGCAGGCTTGCTGTATTGACCTGAGAAATTAAAACCCTATTACTATTATGACTATATTACTACTATGATTATTATTACTATTATGACTATACTATACTCAGAACTCTTGGTGGTGATTTTTCTGAACTCTTCCAGACCTCGCACCCACGAAGGAGCCGGAAAACCATTCTCCAGAGGCGCTGATCTTCTCGTCGTTCTCCTCAGAGCAGGCGACTACCAGCCCCTCCAAGCTTTAGAAACAGCAGCTGCCGGTAGGAGAGCAGGAGCAATCATCATGATGATCGTCAGTGGCTCATACGATACAGCTTGTAGTTCATAAGACATTTGCACTACAAGTGTGTCATCGTGCAAGGTATGACAAACCAGGCCTCACCAGACGAAATGTCGATGGAATCCATGTTCTCGTGCTCGAACATGGCCATGGGCAAGGAAGCTAGCTGTTGCTGCTTGCAGCGTCCGACCGTAGAAGGGCTGGGAGTTGGCTCTTGGACCACCTGCTCGTCGGGGCACAGAGCTGGGTCTTTCCACAAGGGGAATGCCCCCTGTACGCCATCAGAAGGTTCGACACTTTCTGCGGTCTCCACACCGCAATCTTGCATGAATATTGTACAAGTCGATCCAGAAGCGGTTGCTGTCTCACTACAGCATGCATACGCCGAGGGCAACCACAAAGACCATCTTCGGGTGCAACTTTGGCAGGTTAGCAGCCCACAACATGGGCACTTACTCTACTGTAGGGGCCTCCATAACTACCACTATCTATCGGGGGTCTATTTGAAGTACCCTAAACCCTAAACCCTTAAACCCTTAACCCTAAACCGCTATACAAGGACCCTGGAGCCACAATATTGGTGCACAACGGTTGCGGGACGCAAGCCTCGGCCCGGCATTGACGAAGAACTTTTGGACCGTTTGCATCCTGCAAGTCGGGTCCAAACTAAACCCCTACCTGACGGCGCAAGGGACTTAGGAAGTAAGTGGGTCAAGTGATAAACTGGGACACAAAGCCCCCTTTATAGCCGACTTGCCCTGAACCCTAAAGCGTTGAGTAGATCCAAAGATGCAAGCTGTCGGCTTAGCTGTTCTGAGAAGGTGACTCACGAAGGGTCAACACTCCACCATTCACAACAGCTGATTGACAGTTCATGCGACGGTTGAATCTAGAAGCCGCAAGTGCGGGCAGTCTCTACAGCCCAACCGTACCTCTCACCTGGAGCTCAAGGAACATCTGGAAGATCGCACCCATGGATTTTGTAAAGGCCCAATGCCAGCTGCAAGCAGCTGTGTGTAGTGGCTCTTGGCGACAACCGAGCGCATTTGTACCTTGAACCTTTGTGGGTAGTGAAGGCGGAGACGCGCTCGCACGTCGCACGTAGGTACATGGCCTGTCTCTGCTAGGCAATTGAAGAGTGCATGTCTCTAGTCAGACACACTTCGATCTAGCTTGAAAGCAAGCAGGCCTTGCCTATTTCAACAATCATGCATGAGAAAGCCCAATATGCCTTGATGACTGGGTCCGGGTATCATGTTGATTATACTCCTTAAATAGGGGATGTTGGGCTCTGTGGAGAATTACCCTAAACCCCTCCCCTTAATATTCAACCCACCAACCCCTAATAACAATTAGTCACAATATTATAGTATACCACATCATGGGAATATCTATTAGTAGGGGGGGGGGGGTGTTAATATTAGCGGGAGGGGATTAAGACGTTAAGCCTGAAACTTGGGGTCCTTGAACTCGGCTAAACGTCGTCGTAGCCAGGCCATGCACCTCTCCACCGCGAGATCTGACCTAGGCGCGTTTGCATGTACGAGTGCGCTGTGGGTTGGGGATATGTGGGGTTTAGGGTTTTGGGTTAGGGATATATGGGGCTTAGGGTTTAGGGCTTTGGGTCAGGGATATATGGGGCTGTAGTAGAATCATTTAGTAGAATCATCTGGGGATGATCTAGGGTCACGGAAGAGAATTTCTTTAAACGTGTGTTCGGGTTATTGCTAGGGACGCATTGGGATATAGCGCGAGCTGGAAAGTCAAAAATGGAAAAGAGCATGAAAATGGGACCATATAGTGGTTTATAGGGTTTAGGGTGCCCGGCAATTAGGGTTGAAGTGTCTCCAACTTCACAATCATGGACCGCTGTAAGCACTGCTCATATCGCGGTGCTCTGAATGAACCACTGGGTGGCAAACGTCAAGTTAAAAACTTTGGAGTCTTTGGAGAACAATAGATCTCCTAAGCACTAAGCCCAAAACCATAAACCCTAAATCCAAAACCCTAAACCACGCTGTCTGTCTTCAGAGATGGCATGTCCGCAGCACGAGCATCCCTTGCCCAACTTCTTTGTCGGGACTATCTGGGGATATGTGGGGGTTGGGTTTAGGCTTTAGGATTTAGGGCTTGGGGTTTATGGCTTAGGATTTAGGGTTTACTAGGGTAGGTTTGGAGGCACTGAAACAACAGGGCTGGGCTTAAATTTGGACACCTCAGACTTCTTGTACCAAAGCGAGCCAGTGAAGACCACAAAGAACGCCTCAAAAAAAAGCCGCAGTAGGATTCCTTGTTCGTTGTGGGGAGCGGGAACTTTGCAGGCTTCAAAGAAGCAGACCAGCGCGATTTCCCTCCAGTAGCTGGGTGTCATGCAGCGGAGGGTCCATGCCTGGACAGAGGTGCATTGGTTAAGGGTTTCAAGATTTGGGGTGGTACAGGGGCCTCTTTAGAAATGAGCCCTTCCCCCTAAGAAGCATGAAGACCTCCCAACTCCGCTCTTAATGGACATTCCAATGGTACCATACCAGGTTTCATTTAATTATGATTCTATCCTTCCTGTTATTGCTGTCCTCATTGGCGGGTGCGAGCTTGGCTTTGCTATACTTACTCATGCTGATTTGACAATGGGGGAATGCCTATTGGTATAGAAGTTAGAACGGGGATCAGTCAAGGCTACTATATGAGCTTTAATCTTAATGAACTCCTGGTACCCCCAGAAAAAACCCTTCAATACTCCCCTATAAAACCCCCCATTAAGGACTTTAGACCCTAAACCCGAAACCCTACACGACCCCCTTCATGGAGTTTAGACCCTAAACCTTTACATCCCCCCTTAGGGATTTTAGATTACAGCTCATATGGCTCCATTCCATTTCCCGCCTGCTGTCGAAGCATAGGGCTTCGGGTTCAGGGGTCGTCATGGGCAGTGAATTTTTGGGTGGTTGAACCTAGTAGGACTATAGGGTTTAGGGTTTAGTGTTTAGGGTGATTATATGCTTTATATCAAATACCATACCCAAGCGGAGGACATAATCTGACTCTATAGTGCGTACCATAGTCTCCCCGAACAAACTACTACCACATGAGCCGCACGCTCTCAAAACTGCCTGGGTTATGGGTAGTCACAGCAACGTTTTAAATACACACCGTGCAAAGCAGCAGTGTAACATCTGTCTATGCCGTAAACGCCGAACCTTGAACCCTGAACCCTAAACCTTAAACCCTAAAATACATCCCAAATCAACAGGCATGTCTTTGTGCGTTGCAAGCTTTGCACCGCAGCCGGAGCCACAACTCCAACCCTAATATCAAATACTCACTCTGTTGTATACGTTATACTAGTATTGGAGATGTTCTAGGTGTATCATAATATGGGGTAAGTGTGTTGTATGATATAATCTGTACATACATACCTATGTATATAAATATATGTGCAGATTGTTTGATATTAGCAGGGTTGGGGGGGTACTCTCAAGTTCGTCGGGATCAGGAGGAGGCTTTTGAAGCCTGCCCTTGCGTGAACTTGCGTGCCATATACGGACGAATCTGAGAAACCATCACGACCCTAAACCCTCAACCGTGTGTCCACTGGCTTCGGGTAGACAGGTTTACTCAGCCTTTCGAAGCGTACGAGCTAACCGCCTAAAGCCTCAGTGAACTCTGAACATCCAAGTATGTAGTCCCCCTTAAGTAGGTAATCTGGGGTATAAGGGGATCTTATTATGATATTGGGCAATTCCATGTTCGATGTATATCTATATGTATATATATTCATTTATCTATTTGTAAGTATTTGTACATATATAAGGGGGACAATAAGTATAAAAGACAAGGCATGGCCTGCCATAGAGAACTTCAGTCGCCATCGGTCGCCCTCGTACCAAGTCTCGAAGGCCCGCCTCAATCATCAAACCGCTGAAGGAAGCTTCCTAAGCTAGCTACGAGACCCAACATAGACGACATTCGAGATTGTAAATGCAAGCACTGCGCATTAACATATGGAATTGCCTGTGGCTTTACATTGCACCATCCCTCTTCTACAAGGTTCTAATAATCCTAAAAAGCTCCTTTCAATAGGTGGCAGGAGCATCACGCCCCATCGACTTGCCGAAAGCGCCACAACCGAACATGACAAAGCATCAAGTCCTGATGAAGCCGGTGCAGTCCAACACGTGTCAGAAAGCACCGTTTCTGCAAGGGACAACGAATATTTGAGGTAGCACACGCTGCCAAACATTGCCGTGCATCTACAAAGCGCCCCTCCATATTCTGAGCACTGTGCTCAGCTGCCTTTTCAATGCGCTTGACCTCAGCCATGCATGCAGGATGTACACGGATCCAGGCTAGCACTGTACGCCTCCGCACAAAACTTCTACTTTCTGCATAACATACTCTTGCTACAATACCCTTCCAAGCTGCCAAGCACTTGCCACAGTATCTTTCCTCATCACATAACCCTTAAGTCCCGCAGTGGCCACAAGGGCCAGTGGATCGTATACTAGCTCCCTGACATATTCCCATATTACACGGGTGCTGGTTACTGGGCCGGGCCTAACCCAAACTATGCTAGCCACTGCTATGCTGTTAAAAGTGGCCAAGCTCGCCTGAGGCGTCGAGGTTGGCAGTTTTGGCATCCGACAACCGTTAAGGCGGAGGGTTAGGGTTTAGCTGCATGCAGAGCTGCGCATCACCATAGTACAAGTGATGGAGCACGAGGAAGAGGAGAGGCACACCAGAAAAGCGCATCACCAAACCATCTCCTGAACAGAGCCGTCCCATCAACTGTCCGAAGGAACAATAGATCAACTGGGGAGTGGTGCTTTGCCGCATTGCGGTTTTGCACCTGGTCCTTTGATCTCAAAGAGATTCCTATGACGTGTAATGAACAATACGTAGCCGTTCCTGTTAGGAAAAGAAAGCACCCACTGGAAAGAAGCTGGGCTCACCAACAGTCCAGTACTCCTTGCCTCAGCAGTCACGGCAAAGACTTTGTCACCATGCTATACAAAGTCTCACCATGCTTTGTGCAAAAAAACGTGCTCTACCTTAACGGGCAATAGAGACACTGTGACACAATGTTTCTTGATCGTCTTGCGTGCCTCCATGCCCACACATGCTCAAAGTGGGCCCCCAATATCTTGGCAGCATCGCCCCCAATGGCACTATGAGTTTCTCAGGATGGGTGGCCGCTGGAGAGCTCAAGGGCTATGCAGGCAGTACAAGTGGATTGTAGAAGAACCATTTTGAGAATTCCTACATCGTACTTTCCTACATGAGGGACCCCCGTATATACACCGAAAGACTATAATCCTTATTATAAGAACCCGC